AACGAAAGAGAGAAAAAAGATGATGGTGAGGAAGAATAAAAATCTAATAGTATTTTTAATATACTGTTGAGTGGATTGGCAAATAATTTCATTTTCTTGTTTTGATAACTCATGATTTCCAAATAGTAGAAGGTGCAAGTCCAACGGAATGAATTCATTTAGCTCACGACACAATTTTATACTTAATTTATTACAGACAAAAATGAAGTGAGAAGCATCTTCAACAGGATGTCGACACTGCCAATTTCCATAATTAATCAAATTAGCATGAAATAAGTCTTGATTTAGAAGGCTTGAACAAGTTCTGAATCTAACGTGCAAATTGGTATTTTTCTGTCACCAATTCGATAGTAGTAGGGAATTTGTATATCTCGAAGTTTAAGAAGGGACATTTGAAAGGCTGAATATCATACATGTTGTCGGATTTAATTTTCTAATTGGTCCCATAGTCGGATTGTGGAGGAAAAGAAGGACGATCTTGTGAGTTGTTAACGCTAATTCGGTATAGAATAATTGATGACGCTTCGAAGATTATAGATCTGCGGATGTCAGTGTATCCGTTCGTCCCTTCGCCCATCCGTCCGTCTTATGTTTGTCTGGATGTCTGTATCTCCTTCTTTATGGAAATGTTTGTCCGCCTGCGTATTCACCTGTCTCCATTTGCATCTATTGTGTGTCTTTATGTCCGTCTGTCCGTTAGACTGTCTGTGTAACATTTCCTCCGACTGTGTCAACTTTTGTCCAGCTATTTGGCTCTCTCTCTCTCTCTCTCTCTCTCTCTCTCTCTCTCTCTCTCTCTCTCTCTCTCTCTCTCTCTCTCTCTCTCTCAATTTCCACATAAAACATCATTTGATATAAATTGCATTATTACATTTTGTTCGAAACTGGATACATACCGACTTTCTTCCACTGTCAGAGAAGTCTATTTTGTATTAGCTGAAAACAAGTACCTGTCATGATCGCCTATTTCTCGAGATTGTATCAAACTTGTCTATATAGACCAATCTAAATTATACAACATTGACATTCATACTAAGGGGCCCTAGATCACATATATCGACAGGATGCAGTTTACAACAGTTGATATAAAGTTAGATAAACGAATTAATGACCGAACCTTTTGTAATCACACATCTTCATATTGATAAACATTTTGCACAGACAATAACGAAAAGTCATTCTCTGATACCATGAAATAAAGACACTGCTAACATGTGCTCACAAGAAACCCTAACAGTGTACAAAACCTCAGTATACCGTACCGCACATAGCACGACCGCATTTATAGAAGCGATTAGGAATGGGCACAAGCGGAGCACTCTTTCAGGGAACTTTGTTCATGTGACAACCCATGCTTGACAGGAAAATCACACTTGGCTTCTATTAAGACGTTTTTAACACGTATATTCTGTATATATACAACAGGACAATTCTTAATCGCGGTGTTTCAAGTCTATTCCTTTCAAATGCACTCATTTCAGAATACCAATGAAATCAGACAGTGATCTAATGTCGGGCATTGCATTTTGCAAATTGTGGTAATGAATTTCGGTTTTCACTTCCTTTTAACTGATTTTATTTCATTATTTTTACATGCTATCATTAGGTATCACGGGATAGGTAACGTATATAGAACGTATGTGAAAGAGACCCGTAACACCAGAGCATAATAGCTTCAAAATCTCACCATATTTCATTTTTTTCGCGAAAATATTGCTACGTTTGGTTATTTTAAACATAAATATCTCCTAACAGGTAGGTTTTTTTCGTTACATTGAATTTTAAGTGGCACAGCACCATGTATGCAAATGACTCTAAAACCACATAGTCGACGTCATGACACCAATATAAGAAATGCACCAAAGGGAGATGGTGGGCGTGTCTTTTCTTTAAAAAAGGGTGCTTTTAAACGTCACTATGTCCAAATTTTACAACATATTTAAATGAGTTATTTAAATATGCAAATTGGATTTTCCCGATATTTTCAATTTACGCTTGATCAAGATCTACTTGTTATGTAAGTAATCAACACGGACTAGATTTATTCGATATAATTTGCTGGTAATTGGAAAAGCGGACTTACCTGTTACCTTTTCACTTTTTTTCAAGGTTTTATTATCACAACGCAGTAAAATGTTACAATGAACTTGTTTATTTTTCATTGAATGATATATGACTAACCAGTAATCATTGTTTGATTCCAAGATGAGCTTTTGTAACGATTATACATTATTCATAGAAAATGTGAAACCCATACTGCAGGCGTCATCTTACAGTGTAAAACAGGTATGTGTTTCACATTTTCTTGGAATCAAACAATGATTACTGGTGATGATATTCCAACTCAAATATCACAAATAACGGGCCAGTACTATATATGATAGGTCATGTAAACAAAGCGGCGAAGTCGACTTCAAAGGCCAGAGATAAGGGAGATCATTCTTGAAAGTTTGGGGTGTCTGTTTTGCAGCAGTTTATTGGAGATAAATGTTTTTTTGCTTGTAATGATATAAGAAAAATACTTGTTGGCTGAATTCCTGAAAAGGATGGTTAAAAGAACAACATTATATATAACTGCTGTAGGGAGGGTATACGAGATTTCGTCACCGTGTATCTCTGTAGAGTATGCGTCAGGCACCAGATGCCCTGAACCTCATTAACATAAAAAAAAATTCATCTGAAGATCTTATCAGTTACATTTACGTGGGTATTGAGTTTCATAACTCAAACTATAAACCGATCGGGAGCGACTTAGGATGGTTTTACAAAAACAACATGATGGACATTGAATCACGAGATTATCCGAAAACAACTTCGGCCATGTATTCAGGTTAAGTTTCCTAAAGTTACATGTAACTGAATTTTTATCAGGAAATAGTTAACATTGTTGTTAAACCCCCCCCACTACAATCATTTGTACTTTCCCATACTGACCCACTGAATGCTTCCAGTAAGGCCAACAAGAATGATTAAAATCAGTTCTGATAGAATATTTCAAAATTGTTGTAAAATTATATACATATTTATCCTATAGTTAACACCCCTGGTTCACGTGAAACAATAAATTCGATGTGAATGGTTCTTTAGACAACAAAGTGTACGTTATTGATAGTGTCTTGTATATATTGTTCATTCATATTTATCCTATAGTTAACACCCCTGGTTCACGTGAAACAATAAATTCAAAGTCAACAAAGTGTTCGTTATACCTTCATATTGGTTTGTATATATTGTCCATTCATATACACAGCCAAGGAAAACACCAAAACACCCCAGAATAAGCTGATGGGGCGTCACATCGCAACTGATACAGCCCAACACTCGACAGAAACTACGTGGTATGATAACGCCCGCTTTCTGTCGAGACTGTGGCTCTTCAAGCCTTATGTCTTGCTACGAAACAGTTTTTATTGATACGAACATGGACGATACTTAAGTACTTAAAGGCACATCGTGTTGAAGACGGTTGTGACGTAAGTAAGCACCTGTGTGTTACCTGTCCATTCCTGTAATGTCGAAACAGATCTTGCTTCAATCAGCTGTTTTTTAGCATTGAGTTTTCTAATGTGAGCTGAAGGTAGGCGGCAGAGGAATCTTGTGCATCTATTCATTCGTCCGTCCCTTGATTGTATATATACACGACAAAGCCATCCACAGGGACTTGACACGGATTCCCAAACCACAATCCATACTTTAATATGTTAACCGTTGAGAATTTGTGTCAGGTCCCTGTAGTGCCACCTTATGAAACAAGTGTAATTTTTAGGTACCACCAATGACATTGCGAGTGTGCGACCATTATGACGCCAGTTTTGTGGGGATAAAAACGGGGACGGTTAGCCGTTAAAATGGATGTACTTTCTGACGAAGTACACTTTCGATAATGAATCGTTTAGTTTGATTCAAATCAAGTTATGACTGGTATAAAACAGCAATATAGAATAGAAGTTTTTGAAACATAACCGGTAGAAGATTTGAGTGTAACATTTCGATGACTACACGGTCACTTTCGTCAGAGAAATGACCAGTGTTGAGCATACTAGCACTGACGTACGTAGTGTACGAGATGGTACGGATCGACCAACTTTTTCGGCTGCTCTATAATCCTATGTACACTAAGGCCGAAAATAGTGGTAAAAAGATTATAGACCAAAATAATACACCAGGTGGTAACCATGTACTGTTGTCAATTCGGCTACGCTTTGTTTAACACTTGGTCTAAATAAGCGAGAGTGTTTGGCCCCACTCGTCTCTATTCTGTACTGGCCCGCTGCGGCGTTTCCAGATGGCTTCCTTAACCAACCGTCTGAAAAAGGTTGTTTTCCCTGTCGAATTTTTTTCAATTTTCCCAGTCAGTGATATGATTTTGCTGTGTGGAATGATTTGTAAGTGCAGATTTATTTATCTGGGACTGTGAATGTTTTCACTCTTATCTACTGAAGTTTTTGCCTTTTTTGGATTCCGCGCCTTTTTGGTGTTCATTGAGTCGAATCCCGAATCTCCTGTCTGTTTCTCTGATATATGATGCGTCGCAGTTCTTGCATCCGATTTTGTAAACACATTCTGCTTCAATTTCTTTCCATGACCAAGTGTTAAACAAGAACTTCTATTCTATTGACATTATCAACCTGAAGAAAATGTTAAAAAAAAAAAAAAAAAAAAAACAGTATGTCTACAGAATATAAATATAAACACACATTTATGGTGTTTGTGAATGACATAGCTTTGCAAGCAAATCTAGAAATTGCCTGCAAAACGCAGTACTGCTCTGTGTTACTGTTATGGATACTTTTTCATTGACTGATACAATACTTAACTCAGTTTTGAAACATTAGTTCTAAACACTATAGCCAATCGTTGATCTACCAGCAGTCAACCCCGTCCAGTTCCGGAACATTATGACGTCAAACGTTCTCTACTATTATTACGTCATAATACCTTGTTTCTATGTATACTTCAAGCATTTTGCAAAAGCAGCTTTGTACATTTCTCCGCAAATCATGGGATGCACGTACACGAGGACGATTGAGTTTGAAGAAAAACCAAAGAGATGTCGATTGAGAGCGCTGTTTGGAAGGGATCACAAGCGTAACAAGGTAATTAGGAAACAAAATGCCCACAACAGTTGTAATTTTGTAAGACAGGAAGCTCCGGCAGACCAGGTATTATGGAAACACTCTGAAACGATGTAGTCAAAATTTATTAAACGTTTCGACAAAACGATAGAGATTTACTTTACATCAGGACTTTTTTCCATGTTGTGTATTTCATTTCCACGACGCCAATATTTCAACAGTACTAAGTAAAATGTCTGAAATACATGTACATATGTGTCATTATTTTCTATATAATGTAACCTCGTTATACTGAATTCGTTGGTTTAATTTATTCAATAGAATTCCTCTTTCATTTTAACTCTGTAAGACAGTATTAAGGACATATACGATCATTGAATTAAGTTATCGAAGTCTAGTCGCATTATTCCAGACTTTCATTCCCACTACAGGTTCAAACCATTCATATTGGGAATCCTGTTGGAGTTCCAGTAAGTGAGGGCACACCCATGTTAAATTTGTCACGGAAGACAGAGCAGACTGTGCTTATGCAGCTGAGAGAGGAGGGGATCATTCCTAATAAGGGAGTAGGAGGCGTGTCATTCACTGTAGAAATAAATGAGGAAATTCCAGACCAGTCAACCTCAAATGACGCCTATAATCAACTACCTGGAGTTCCACAATACACACAAAATAACGTAAAATCAGTCTCCTTACGTCCCCGAAAGTTACCTCCCCTTACCACCAGAAGTGTTGTTAAACTGCCTTCCAAAACACGAGAAGCAGACGCAGATGTTTTGAGGAGTGAAGAACTACGACGGAAAGGAAAAATGGCGCGACTGTCTGATCACCGACGAGAATTGGCGGCAGCCAAAAGAGAGGAAAGACAAGCAGAAATACGGAAGCGACTGGAAGCAAAGATGACGAAAAATCTGTCACATGAGAACGACGAAATTGAAAAGGTGAAGGTGGATGAAAAACTGGAAAGGGCACGGATCTACAGAGAATTGAAGGCTGAAGAAAGACGGGAGAAAATCTGTAAGAAATTGGCAAGAATTCCAATTACAGAGAAACCAAACAGGATATCAACAGAAGAGAAATTAGAGCGTGCTCGAAAGAACAGAGAAAAACAACTTGAAGGAATGAGGGAGAAATGGGAAAAGAAAGAGAGAAAGATCGAAGCAATTAAAAGAAGCAGAAGCGTCAGCACACCTTTACCATCGTCAACTAAATTAGAAATTTAGACGGCGAGGGTTAAGACGAAACGAAGAAGAAGAAGAAGATGATGATGATGATGATGATGATGATGATGATGATGATGATGATGATGATGAAGAAGAAGAAGAAGATGATGATGATGATGATGATGATGATGATGATGATGATGATGATGATGATGATGAAGAAGAAGAAGAAGAAGAAGAAGATGATGATGCTGATGCTGATGATGATGATGATGATGATGATGATGATGATGATGATGATGATGATGATGATGATGATGATGATGATAAAGAAGAAGAAGAAGAAGCAGAAGAAGAAGAAGATGATGATGATGATGATGATGATGATGATTTAATAAACTTAAATCACTTTGGTATTGAAACATTATGATGAAACATTTTACTAAAAATAAAGTTTGATAACTAGTAGTAAAGATTTACTCATAATGTTTTTTAGTTAAGAATAATTGTTTTTGAAACTCTATGTTTTGAGATAATATGTAAATTCTAAGTAGTGTTCTTGGTCTCCAAATATAGCGGTCGTGGTTCTTCTGGTATTTCGGAAAAAAACTTTAATTTTTCATTCATCTTATAATCCACATAAACATCTCACTCTTGCTAATGTTTTCAATACATTTGACCACCTATGACATCGAAATCAACCAGTCAATTCTGATATAGCCATTCAGGGAAATTATAATTGATACATATTTGAACGTACGGTGTTAATGTTGGTCGCTGTTATCGATGTACAAACATCTGTCACCACATAATGTTTGATTTGGGAGACATGGTCCTTAACCTTACTAGTTATGTTAATTCTTGTTACGTAAGACTTAATGAAGGACGATAACTCAGCAAAGTAAAAGTACCTCGCGGAAGGTGACATACACCCTTAATTGAAAATAGATTTTCCCGAACTCAGATTTGTACTTTATCTATACCTCAGTTTTTTTCGGAGGGATACAATATCATTCTGTAAGTTATTCGGGACTTTTTTGCTTGAGAATTATGTCATTATCTTATTAGATTAATCTGTTCAGTGTTATTTTCGGTAAAGTTACAAGGTCACAGAACTTGTTTGAGGTTACAAAACTGGTTTGTCTGATAGCCAAATCTCAAAATACTATTTACATCTATCACATAGGTGCGTTGGCGTTCCAGGAGGTCGAGGGCACTTTTATACATACGCGGACTACATCCGTTACTGGACGTGTGTATCGAGATGAACTACTTCGAGTTTCGTTATCTACAAAATCACGACGAACATGACTTCTGTATCTCTGTGTACAGTGTTTATATTCCACTGTGAAGTTTTGATTCTACATGTATTCGCTCGCTAAGTGTAAAATATAGGACAGTTAGAGATCAATTCGATTCCTTTGTTGTGGTGTTGATATTTCACTGCCCACTAGGTACAATCACAACATATTCATACATTTTATCATATGTACACTGTATAACTTAAACGTTTCATGCAATAGCCTCGACACAAGACGGAATCATACGCAGTGGTGGCCACAAGGCGCAGTGGTTAGCGTAGTCATCTTCTACCATGACGACGGGATTCAAATCCCCGATCGGACGTGAAAAGGTATGGGGTCATCAGCCCGACTACGTGGGTTCTGTTCGGGTACTTTGTTTTTCCAGTACATAAAGATTGATTAATTTAGATTAATGAAAGAAAACGAAATCCTAGAGGAAGGGCTTGAGATTAGATCCTTATTTCTATCATGCTAGTTGGCATTCAGCACTGAAATATTGTCATCGATACTTGGAATGTACACGAAGGTGGTAGATAGGAGCTAGTCAGTAACTGCGACAGTTATTAGTGATGAAAGTATTTAATGAATGCATGCTTTGAAAAATTACTGTGACATATCTACACGTCAATATCAGTGTAAACCCGCTAATCAGTGTAAACCCGAACACCAGTGTATACCCGACAAGCAGTGTAAACCCGACTAACAGTGTATACCCGACTAACAGTGTATACCCGACTAACAGTGTAAACCCGAACACCAGTGTATACCCGACAAGTAGTGTAAACCCGAACATCAGTGTAAACCCGATCATTGTCAAGCCATTGACCATTCTGACAATGCTGAAGATTGTTGGAAGAACTTACAACCAACGTCGACAAATATGCTATAAACCAGAAACTCGATCATTTAGATGATGTCGTCCTTTGTATACTTCTTTTTTGATTTGGACGTATACTTCACGAAATACGCGTCAGCATAGTTCACAACCACGTATTTGTACCAGCGTTCACCTTTCTTGGGAAGAGGTTTTAATCAGCGCATGCCCCTTTTTGATAACAATTGTCATAAGCATTGATTAGGTAATACATACACTGCCTCTCAGGTTCAGATAACGTTATATAAAAAATCTGTAGATTTCTATTTGGTATACAAGAGAGAAAATGAAATCAATGAATTCACGATTAGTCATCAACAGCCGTATGTGCCGGAGTCCTCACAAAATTTTGAATTCTACTGTTTAATATATCGACATCAAAGTTATATTGTATAAAAGAAGTTTTAAAGCACAATATTGGTAAAGTTTTCCAATGATTCGAAGAGTTAAATAGTTTTACTGATATCACACAGTATGTATAAATTGACATTATAGGTAACAGGAGGAAAAGTAGTAATGGTCTTCACTCTAAAATATTCAAATTTGTCACAACGCGTACAGTAACTGTCGTTGTAGTTGAGGAACTCTTATACTGATCTTGTAAAATTTGCACTGTAGGTTTGGGCATTTTTTTTAAAGAAAAAAAAATGTAGTAACAGGCGCTTTTCTCTCGTGTATCTTTTGTTCAATAATCCAATGGTATTATTTCACAGAAAATCTATCTGAATGTTTAAAATTTAGTGTATACAGTATCTATAAGATATATATTACTGGTCCAGAATCTATAACAAAGGCAATTTGTTTGGGAAAAGTAGATTAATGTTTTATTTTATGGATTATCTTCCGCGGAACTTAATATTGACCTTCCAGCGAAGGTGTGCACACAACGAAAACGACTTGATAGGTATATTTTGTAAATCAGAGAGTGGTCATGTACCTCCCTGAATACATGTAAAGTACATCATACATCGTAAGGAAAACAGCAGACACGAACGTTGAATATATTTTGTAAATATTTTTCACGACACGTTTCTATGTTTTTAAACCGTAGCGGTACAATGGTAAACAACCTTGGAATATTGAAAAACTGGCACGAAATATCGATGACCAACGACATGATCTGGAATAATAGAATGATTGCAAACTGACTTCCCATGTAAAATTTAAGAAGCAATTATCTTAGATCATCAACATTGAGAGGTATTCTGTTGAATTATCCCCAAAACTTTTTTATTTGACATTCTCATCAGTGCCTAGAATTGTGTGCAATGTTGCCAGGCTTTTCTACACTTGAGCCGTCTGTTTGGTTTCGATTTAACTCTTTGTCTGAATGTTTTGGCAAATTTCATCTGGCTGAATACCATCTGCATACTATTTGGACAAACCGGTTTTTATGTGGTATTCAACCTTCTTAATTTTGGATCATACGAAAAATATATTTATTCATTCATATTTTCGTTAAGGGTCACTTTAACGATTGTTTTAACGATATCGGCTCGTCCGTTTGAGAGTTACATGCATAATATTGTTTTGTAACAGCGGGTTTTACAAACGATGACATGTTTACACAGTTCAATTGCATACACATTTAGTTGCACATAAACTAAATGACGTGAATGATTATGAGTGTTAAATTTCCTGTAATTTGCTAATACGAATGTCTTTCACGTGCTTTGACTGGTGGTACGAAACTTTATCAATAGTCAGGAGTTTGATATTTATCTGTACACAACGTTTTCAGAGTACAAAGAAATAATTATTGTACATGCCAAAACAGTAAACCCCTAAGTTATATACAATGTAGATATAGAGGGCCGTTCTGTTTATTTATTGATTATAACAAGTTATCGAAAGATACAAACAACATTTAACGCATAAAGGATAAACAGTAGGCCAACCGCAAGTCATTATTTTCATTCAGTTTCGTTATCGGCTGTCTGTAGGGGTTCATTTGGTTTTCATTGCTTCAATTATTATGAAAATTTCAGTTTGATTTTGTCTTTAAATTTACGGCTTTAATCGTTACTGAGAACATATATTAAAACATGACAAATATAACTGAATGCTTCTGATTTCGAGGTGTTAATAAGTGTATAAATGCGCGTGGAATGCCATGATACACTTCAAAAATACATGAACGTTATACAATAATCGATGTTGGCATTTATGCTTTTTACGCTCTTCAAATTCCATGCAATTCTTTAAATAAAAGTAATACTTAACTGTAGTTATTTTGTTTGTATAGCTATTCTAAGTATATAGGCTGTCTCCTCTTGGAGAAGGTCAATCACATACCTGCATATAGTCGAGTACCGGTGTATCTAACATTTCAAAACAAAGGGATGTAGAAAAATCATATTATTCTTCGCTGTCATACATTATTATGTCAATAGTACACTACATGTGAATAACACTGTATACATATTTCACTTCAAAATCATTTTTAACAAATGTAAAATCACCGATCTCTTTCAGCAGTAAAAATACGCATATTCAGCAGACTATGTTAAATTGAGACGGAAGCAATTTCGCGGTGGTCTGTTTGCCGAGAAAGACCAAAATATCTTACACAAAAATAGTTACAGGGGAAAGCCCTTATGGTATTGAATCAAATGTTGCGTGTAAACGCCATAGGCTAAGTATGCACGAATGATGCATTTAACAATATATTTTCCGGGTAGAAATACGTTACGAAGGAATAAGATTTAATCGTGTGGCCTCATCTGCAATATACATTGCACTGTAATTCAATTAATGTTTTGTATGACCCGTGTCAGCAGAAATGAAAATATCCACGGTGTCATCGAGCAGTGACTTTTAAAAAAAAACTTATAGGTCAAAAAGGACGAACTTGACAAAGGAATGTTTTTTGTGTTCCATTTTTCTGCAGTTAAATGAGCTAACGTTAATGTTATAAAAACTTTGAGTCGAGTGACGGTAATAATGCCGCTTGACATAGTAATGTTTTCTGATACCGTACAGCCCTTTTTAAGAGGTTGATTTTCAAAACGCTGTCTGTAATTTTACCTTTTTACTTGAGGTTGGAAATGGGACACTTGTGCCAAGTTTACCGATTACACAATTACTTGTGAGGCATTCCTTCACATTAATAATACAGTAGTGCTATTCATCTGAATCGGTATTTAGGCATTGTCTTCTTACTACGACTTACTCAAACGACTGACTGCCCAATAAAGTATACCTCCTCCCACCTGCCATTGTTTTGCCTTCTATAAGGAGATTGGAGATTATCCAATATTATGGCTTTTAATAGATAATACAAAGATTGTGTAAACTAAAATAAAACTATATTATCTCTTAAGTAAAGCTATTATGGAAACCGTGTATTGATTGATTTAGATGTAAATTCCTTAGTCTACCATTCAAGTCAACAAACCCATCAACAAACAATACTGTTTTATTGTTGTTTGATCACATCAACCTCTTCACATTACACTACACATTGAGCGTTCTTTGCACTTAGGTGTTCTTATGTAACACAGGTATAGCCCGGCAATGAAACTGGTCATTTTTTTAAAAAAATATTTTTTAATTACTATAATGACATATTATTATTTAGCACATTGTGTCCTTGTTCTAATCTTACTACGACTTCATACTGCAATGACAGTAAATAGGGAAGAAAATAAAACTTCAAGCCATTTTTCGACTCGGATGCAAATCTTTAAAAATAACTTTTTACTTGTAACTTATGCATGTGATATAACACAAGCTCTTATGAGATACAAGTTGCTGGAAGCAGTTAAATTGGCCTTTTTCCAGAACAATGTTTACGATATATATGTATAGCAGATTGAGAAAAATACACCCATACATGTATATATACTGGTTAATTACTATATGGTAACTGTAGCCGGAATCGCGGAGAAATAGAGACTGTGTATTTGTGTAAGATACAGAAAAAATAGCAATTTCCTCGTCTTTTGTAACATTTTATCGTAAATATGCAGAGATTAGAAAATGAAATCGACATCCACATGAGATGGTAAATCTAGATGCACTCACTTTCACATGAATAAAGGACCTCAACGTACTTAAGAGATATCTGCAAACATTTTACGAATTTCAATGGTGACACTAAGTATATATGTATATATCCCGATTAATACAGTTAAACACTTGTTCATGATGTTATTCTGAGAGAGAGAGAGAGAGAGAGAGAGAGAGAGAGAGAGAGAGAGAGAGAGAGAGAGAGAGAGAGAGAGGTCTTCCTATTAGGTTTCAGCTATAATCAAGTATCTAAGACTGCGCATATTAAAACTGACTATTACACCAAACCATTATTCCTTGCTAAAGTTCATCACATCCTGTGCTGTAGGTAGCTTGCTCCGTTTTCAATTCATTCCTAAAAAAGCATATAAAGGGCAAGTAATAAAAAAGTGGTAGCAATTTCCACAGGGATGTCCACATTGACATTCAGCAGAATCTATAAGATTTGCTCTAAAGAGATCATAATTATGAGAACTAGCACGGTTTCCTAGGCGACAGTTTAATACTCTGTACTAGTGCACAAGATCCCCCCTCTTTTCATGTATTTAGGTTCAACTACATGTTTAAAATAAAAAATCATTCGTCGACGTGGTCAAAATGTATTTTAAATCTATAAAGAATCACCTATTGCTTAAATTCTGTATGGTATCTCCTTGTGATTACAACACTGAAAGAACAAAAACATGAATAACAACTGATACAAACTGGTCACTGATATTTTACTGAAAGAAGTCAGGAACATTATTACATCGTAAATAATTTCAAACTACGTTGGTTTCCTTTGTGATAACGTCATTCTGGCTGCAGCAAGAATTCTCTGTCAATCATTTTCACAAGGTGTTGATTTCGTGATATCCTGCTAAAACGTTATGATGACTCATCAAATGTGCTGTAGTGCTGTGATATTAAAATAAATATTGAAAAAATGACCGACTCACCTAATGACGAAAATGTGATACTTACCCGAAGGGTTAATGTAAACGTGTAGTGTAACGATGATATAAAGTCTTAATTTGGGCTTTTTGTTTGAAAGGGAAGCAACTACGGGACACGACTATACACAGTCACGTGAACAAGATGATTCATTGCCAACATACCTAGATAAATTACAGTTATTCATTACATTTAACTTAAATTTTTCATCGTATGCTATAACTTGATAGCATATGTCATAAATACCACGACTGATTCGTACATAAGGGAGTTTTTAGTGTACGTTACCACTGACTACTGTATCGCATCGTTCTGCAACCGGATATACACTTAGCAACAACTTTTCGAAATCAGAAATATTCAGTAACGATATAAATAATAAATTTCAAATTAAAATCAATCTGAAATTTTATCAAAATAGCTTAAGTGGAGGAAAAGGTGTGATTTTACGAGGTTAATTTTAGCGATCACTCAGGCCTATCTGCTGCTATGTAAGCAGTAAAGAATATATATACATGTAGCTAAGAGTGATTGTTTGACTATCAATTTCTGAAATATTTTCCATAGGCTCTCTACGTAATGCGCCAAGTAACGAACAAAACCTTTTGGGGAATACGAATAGCGAAATAGGGTACATCTTTTCAGTGTAAAATTGTAATATCTGAAAATGAGCGAATTAAATTTCAAAATTTTTCATGTATGAAATTGTATAATTCTTTTATTTTGCAAAATGTTGATAAATGTTTGAGATCATAATTAGTAGTAGTTCCTACATATTAAAAGTTATATCATTTGATAGTGTAAACTATTGTTTTGATTGATATATTTGGCGAAGTAGTGAATCCTTGGTTCGTGACACTAAATACACCATGATACAGGCTCTAGGGACCTTTTGGATTTAAAAAAAATACATTTTCTGGATTGCCTCTGAAGGTGCTATCAACAACACCAAGTAAAGTTGAAATTCGGTCGTGGACAAAATTATATTATTCCTGAAAAAGTCCTGTTCATATCCGACTGTCAATCGGCACGTGTGAATTCTATTGCCTGAATTGGAACATGTCATTATTTTGCGAAGTCATTACACGTAAGAACATGTGATTACCATTCTCACTAAGAGTTTACAACACATAATGGTGAAATACATCTGCAAAACAAGCGAGATCCTTTAGAACATTTGCTCGCGCTGATATACCCAAGAGAGTGATCCGTTTGGAAATACCCACATGCTATAAATAGACTTTGCATTTGCACAGTCAAACAATTTCTGAAGAAAAAATACTTTTACAGTTGTGTCTTACAACCTTTATTTCAAACAAACTGTCACTTTTTTAGAATCACTAAAGATCAAGAAACGTGCTGTACTTTCTGCAAAACTTTTGCGTCCGTCAATATTTGTACTTTCGGTTTAATAATGCATTGTATTTAATAGGTATATTTGTAGAATGTGGTTGGCTACATCTATATGACGTAATTTCAGTGTACATTGTACGTATTTGTAGATTGATACGCCATTAGGACAGGTATATTCTGAAAGGTGAAATACTGACAACGATTAAAGCTGTGCTTCAAGGGAGAAGTTTATCGCCGGGGCGATACCGGGGAAAACAGTAAGTATTGATGTCTATTGGTAAATGTAATTTATCAAAAATACGCATTTTAAAAATTATACTTTCGTTTTGTTCTTAACTCTATAACCTGGTAACAAGAACGTAATCTGGAATAAATTTACATACATGCCCTTGTTTTGTTTAATAAAAATACATAAGAAATAATCAATATACACACAGTTAGTTAATGTTACTATAATTTATATAGTTAATGTCCACATCAGTTGTTACATGATATACACCTCGGGTCTTGGTTGTAAACGATAACACAGAAATACCTTCCTCATTTAGGACACGCTCCAATTACTGACGGAGGTGTAATCATATACATATTCGCATTTGAAGCGTACCTCCTGTGAGCTATTGGTGTTGGAAAAGAAAATGTTTCACAGTATGTACATTGATAAACGTAAATCTGAGAAAAAAAGGTGTGGCGCCTTTAAACTGATTTCCACTTTTACTAAATAATTTTTAAAAGGTCGACAAACCAAAAAGATATTGCTATTAACCAAAGACATCAATTTTTCGCAAAAGAGATGATTAGAAAGGTAAGAAATGTTTATCTGGCATTACAAATAGATCTGTTAAATGTCAATGATCATCTGTATCGAATATGTTCAAAGAAAGTAAATTTTCTTCGTAACCTTTTTCCGGGCTTCAACAAAGGAACCTACTTATTATGAATTTAGTACTTTTGGTTCATCAGAAGATGTCGTTAGAAGGTTTTTTTTTTTTTTTTTTTTTAAATTTCACCCTTTGAAATTTCAATGTGAGAAAATGGAATTTCATTTTGCAAGAACTGTTCAGCGTATTGGTTATTGAGAAGAAGATTTTTACTTAATATGGCCTTGTGACCTTAACAATGATCAAAATTAATGTAGTTAAAAGATAAAGAAACGTAGGGTAACATTATTGGGAATATCTTGCGAACGCGCTGTTCAGAAACAATGACAAACGGTCAAGCAACTCTCAAGGTTACACTGCACGTAGTGCTGTATCGAATATTGCATAATTGTATTGCGTGACGATGTCTTCCTGTGAAAGCACGAAACAGGTAAATCTCGTGCACAGCAGTGTTCTGACATTGAGTAACACTGCTCTTCATACCATTTGGTAGTCTTCATAGAGACACATCTTTTCCCGATATTTTGATAAATTGCTGATAGCATTAAACAATGACACGACTGACAGAAGTTCAGAGTGGTCAGGTACTATATGCACTATAGAACGTCTTGTTAGTCGTCTAAGGGAAACTGGGTGGGTTGCTGACGGACATATGTCTTATCGTCCGCGCGTGACGTCACAACGTAAGGACAGGTTTATTCGTCGCGCGCATTTGCGCAATTGACACCTTACTGCTACTGAATTTGCTCTTCATACATTAGGTACTCATGACCGTCCTATCCATGCAACAACTGTGATAAAATGATTGCGGGAAGTTGTTCTGCGGGCACGCCATCCGTTTGTAGATCTGCCCCGTACCGCTGCTTGTCGCCAGCGTCGTTTTGTTCTTTACTGCATAAAGTGGGAAGAAGCAATTAATCTGGTAGTGGTCCAAATCCAAGTAATCCCTATTGACTATTGTGCAATTTTCTGCAATGGAAATATCAGGACAAACATTGTGAACACCATTATCGATGTGAAAAGTATAAAAGGGAATTTCTAAATTCACATGATATAGAAGTTGATTTTATAGTCAGTGCTTGAAGCGGGTGAGATATCGAGTATTTACATGTTTTTGTCCACTGGATGTATTGCTCATATGATACCTATACAGTATCATATTAACAACGATATCAGACATTTCAGTGCACTTTTCATATTATTCATGCAGCAAATTATTGATTTAAACCATAAATCACTTTTCAAAGGAGGGGACATTTAAGTGAAAATTTAAAATATAGACAGTTCCTATGCCCCTCCGTTGATATGATCTTAGCACACATTAGCCTATAAAGAATTTGGCATCAATCGGGTTAAATGAATACTACAGCATTTAGTGTGTAAAGTAAGTGAGTACACCACCTCACATTTCAAAAGATATCTTCTTATCAATACAAAAATATTGAATTTTTGTTTTTGGAATAAGCCACATCTTCGTTGTCGGACTTTTGATAAAGCTCATTTTCAAATGCATAACAGTTGATTTTTCAGTTTGTATACTTATCGATATTAACGTGCTTATCTCGAGGCAAGGTATAAACACACAAAATAAAAACACTAGATATAAAATGCATTGAAATCCATGCCAATTACACAACTGCTCGGTTGTTGCATGCCAAATACATTTACATGTTTATTCGTGGTATACATAGATCATTTAATTTATATCATTATCTCCAAATCAATTTATCAAATACCGGTGTATGATTTAAATCAAATCTGTACACATAAGCATGAAACACATTGATATCAAATAGGTTAAATTGATACTACAATATTGATTAAGCATATTACCTAAGTACATAGCCTTATAAGTAAAATTTAATCATATATATATATATTTCTTTTGAAAATTATACCCATGTTTAGTATATATATTGCGATCTTTTCTTGGTGGATGTCGGGGTGATTTATCTAATTAGGCAGTTGTTGAATTTCTTGGCTGGGCGATTTGTTGCCAAAGAGCGTGAGTTCTAGGGCCAAATTGGGCACGAATCAAAAGTTTTCTTCATTTGTCAGATGTGTTACCATTTCCAAATATCAATCAATTAAAACAATGAATCATTTGATTTAAGATTTGAATTTTCTGAAATTGTACACGTGTATAATACTATATGTACAATTCGTATCCATGAATATATATATATTTATATATACTCTAATGGCGATATCTTTATCACGTTTTTATTTGTAGGATGGACGTTAGTGAAGCCAGAAGGAAATCTCGAGTAGAAACCATTGGGAAGAAGCTTGATTTAGAGGAAATTTGTAAATTGAAATTCCTCTCCCAGGGTGATAGTTTGGCCGGGAAGCTACAAGCATGCGCTGATGGTTCAACATTGCTTTTTGAAATTTCCACAAACGGAAACGACGAGCATGTAGTAGAAGGATTAGCTAGGGTAGGAAGACTAGATCTTGCCATCAGATATGGCAAAGAATGTAGCCAGGAAGGAGAGCTTCTATATGACCGGATTTTAAAAGACCTCGATTACCTTGAAAAGACATATTTTGATGAATTTAGGTGAGATTCATTATATACTGCACATATTGCACAGGACGTTTTCCTCACTAACAATCGACTGATAGGACTAAACAGCTAAATGACACAGTTTACTTCATATTCAAATCAGCTGTATCTAATTTGAATTTGTATTGAAATATGCTGCACTCTTGTGTGACTTAAGTACAAGGCTTTGAGATAGCAAGTAGTAGACTTTGCTACTTCATCCTGCTATGTTTGCCACAACCTTCATGACATGTTTTGATTAAATGGTGACACTGCCCATTATGAAATTGATTGGATTGCGCGGTTGTTGCATCTCTTCACAACGATGTTTGACACGTTATTTCATGATAGAATGATGCAGTCAGTCGCCAGTCTGAAGTTGTATTAAAAGACACCTTTCTCTGTTGTGTGTCTTGGGTATAATACTAGAATTTTACAAACCACAATAGTTAATGGAGAAATGTGACCTTAATGTGAATGTGTGTCCAGCTGTAACCGTATTAAATCTATTATATATTTTCTCATATAAATTAACATATTTTCTTGTATTTTTCATAAAATTATGATTTTGGTTCAAATATGGTTTCAGGGTTTTATTGCTTTGTATATCTGATGAGCTGACAGATGACGATGACCTGGAAAAACTTAAAAGTGTTACAACAAATATCCCCAGGGGATCTGTGGGAAAAGTACGCACTGTCCTGGAATTCTTTACTCTACTCATACAACGTGACATTTTACAACCTAAAACATTAGAAAATGCTCTGTTGGAACCAATGGCTGAACTTAAGATGACATCTTGGCTGAAACACTCGAGGAAAATATCAGGTAATAAAATTCTGTTCCTGGTTACACGTTTGAAATTTTGATGTAAATGATTTAAAGTATAGAGTTATTCTAACTTATATTTCCTTAAGCATTGACTACAGACAAGACGTATTCAGTAAAACGGAAAATGTAAACACTTTTCTGTACATACTTTGCATTACATCAACAATGCACTGTTATGTTACATCAATAATCTACATCTCTTTCATCAACAATGTACTGCTATATTACATTAATCTGTTAATCTGTATTAAATACATCTGTTTTATCCACAATGTACTGCTATATTACATCAATAATCTACATCTATTTCATCAACAATGTACTGCTATATTACATTAATAATCTACATCTCTTTCATCAACAATGTACTATTATATTACATCAATAATCTACATCTATTTCATCAACAATGTACTGCTATATTACATTAATAATATACATCTCTTTCATCATCAATGTACTGTTATATTACATTAATCTGTTAATCTGTATTACATACATCTGTTTCATCAACAATGTACGGTTATGTTACATCAATAATCTACATCTCTTTCATCAACAATGTACTGTCATGTTATATAAATAATCAACATCTGTTTCATCAACAATGTACTGTTATATTACATCAATAATCTACATCTATTTCATCAACAATGTACTGTTATATTACATCAATAATCTACATCTATTTCATCAACTATGTACTGCTATATTACGTTAATAATCTACATCTGTTTCATCAACAATCTACATCTATTTCATTAAACAATGTACTACTATATTACATAATAATCTACATCTCTTTCATCAACAATGTACTGTTATGTTACATTAATAATCTACATCTCTTTCATCAACAATGTACTGTTATGTTATATCAATAATCAACATCTGTTTCATCAACAATGCACTGCTATATTACATTAATAATTTACACCTATTATATTAATAATGTACTTCTGTTTATCAGCAATGCGATTCTGCAGTACATCAAAAATGTTCTGTTAAAACATCAACAATGGACTTCAATATTACACGAACAATTTATTGCTATATTAAATCAACAAAACACATTAGAATTTCAATACGTATAGTAACAACATTAAGCAATTGATGTATGTCAAAGCTATTAAAATGAAGTTTATCAGAAATTAGATTATGTAGGACTTATACCTGCAGCGAAACATTTTTTTTACTTTCTATACTAGATGATATTAAACAATAGGATGTTAATAAGGTGTTCTGTTAAAAAATGAGCATGCTTATTGCAATGCCTATTTACAGGTTTTAAGGAAAGATTATCCTTGCGAGAGGCAGAAGAAACCGAAGGGTCAAGAGTCTCACAAACTACAGGTAATTCAATGACTCGCATGTGAAATATATTCATTTATACCATTTCGGAATATTCATTCCACGGATTGACCTGAATTTGCATAGCGAGTGTTCTCTATAAAGCAGAAAATGTAAATATTCACCAGTTAGTTACCTGGGTAAGCCTACACGGTTGCCAACGGCAACACAATATGAGGTCTTCAATAACGACTAGATTGTCTATCATGACGTCAAGGAAATGGGATATATTCATGTATATGCTTGGTTTTAAATTTTTTATAATTTTGTTCTGTGTCTCCTTACTTCCAATAGCATTCTCCGAAATTAGTTAATCAAAAGGAAATATCTTAAACTCTTTTTTTCACAAATTTCAAACGTGTCTCCAATTTAGTGCTCATAACCTACTTATACGTCTTACTCGGTCACATTATTAAACAGTTTAAGTTTTTCGATTCACAAGAAAAAAATGCGTTGATGGTAACTTCTTTGGTTCCGCAAACACTTTCAATGTCCCTTTATGTAGATATGCGTATGTTTCACATCGCGGATCTTAACATTTTGAAACATTGAAATTTGTTTTCTATTGACAATGCGATGAGCATAGTAATCTTCTGAAATGTTTTGATTGTGCTTTACTGTTGATGAATTATTTGTTTTCAAATACACTTAGTTAATTTTCTTTCAGTAAAATATTCAAATGATTCAATGTTTGGCTGATATTCCTATTTCGTGGATTGTGGTTTCTAATTAGCGGTATAATAGATGATTCTGGTTTATCGTTTGGTTAAGTAATGTTGTTCTGCTTATTAATGTTTCTGTTTTATGCACTCCTTTATTATTTTTGCGTGATAGTGTTGGAACTTGATTTGAGTCCTCAATTCCCTCAATCGTTATTTTTCGGTTGTCCCTCTTGCTTGCAATTGTGCAGATATATTCTTGTTACATTTTAAGCCCTAAGTGACCAACATAAAGGTATTGGCGTGTATGTCATGGATTATGAAAAACATCTTTTAACATTTTGTCTACTTACTTTTTACAAGGAAATCTAAAAATGAAATACCATTTGAATTGATTTTAAAGGTAAATTTATTGGTTGGAGGTAGCATGTTCAGAATTTCAACAGTACAGTAAAAATTGGAAGAGATTTTCAGATGATTGTTTCAGTGTTTGGGTGTAGGACACAGAAAGATTAACAGCATTACCAATCTTCTGAATGTGGAGTGAGCACGTTTAGAAAGCTGTTATTACTGTTTACTGTCGAATTTCTGTGTCCCATACATCTTCCGATTGTTGGTAAAAATGTTCCTTGATATCCAATTGCGTATGTTGGGGGTAATTTTGGTAACTATAGTTTAATCTGCAGCAAGTGTTTGCCGTTGAAAGTAAATGCATTATTCTTCAGAACGTCATTGTATTGCGGTTTCTTGTAATATGAAATCCTTTTTAAATCGATAGTTAATTGTTTCTTTATTCTTTTCTATCCAAAACGTCGGTGTTAGTGCGTTTTGTCTCCCATGAATTTATCTAAATATGAGGTCTTTCAGGTTTGTACAGGTGACGTACTCTGTATTTTGCAACTTCGCAGCTTGTCTAACACTTGTTTTATGGATTTGATTTGTTCCCTAAAAAGCATTTAATTTTTCCTTGGTACTACCTGAAAAATTCACTCTAGCTTCAAATATTTTTTTTCCGAACAGTTCGAGTTTCAAAAGTTTTAAAACATTTCTTGATTATACATTCATAAAAAGTGTGAAAAAAAAGCACACAACTGAATAGCATTTTTAGAATAAGAATAAGATACAGCACAGTCAAACAGTAACGAAAACGTTATTATGTAATTATTTTGTCCTTTATTTCTATTTTTACACAATAGCGATAATAAATATTTACAATAATGAAACGATAAAGATTTTTTTAAGATGCCGCAATAAGTGTCAAAATATAGATTGGGATGTATACAATAATTCACAAAATTAAGAATTCAAGTGAAAAGGTAAATTCTGTATTGTGCCACTATTTAAATGCATTTATCTAAACAGAGTTTATCCCTGCAGGCTCAAACGATTATGCGCGCACACACACACAACCACACACACACACACACACACACACACACACACACACACACACACACACACACGCACACACACATAAATACACATTTAAAAAATTGATACAGCATAGCATGACAATGAAATTTATTTAGTCTAGTTCAAATATATCTTTTTCCATACCTGCATATAATTTACTCATTCGAGATAGGTGGGGTAGGCCATATTTTTGCAATTTTACATGGTAACTGATATGTTGTCTGAACTAGGATAGACAGTACAGACAATTGAAAGCCATATCTCATCGTGGCTACCTCTTCGATAACAAAGCATAAGAAAAATTTCTTGTCTTTCAGAAACTGTACCGAAAGAGGTGGTGCAACCAAGTTATATCCAACCAAGAGAAGGGAAGGAGGAAACCAATGACCAGCATTTAGGTATATACTTATACCCAATAACTATGTCAACTATAATCTAATAGTCAAATATGATAAAGTACGATACATCCATCTTCTTTCGGTGTTTGTTATTTATAATGTACGTGTATCAGATATTTGTATATATCCTTATAAAACATCTGTACTCATTCTGATAACGTTGAACTTGTTCAGAATGGAGTTTGCTTGACGTCATAGAAAAACTCTAAACAATCAGATATCTTAGTAGTAGAGAAATGAAATGGCGAGTAAATCCTAATTTCAAGCGAAGGAATATGAAAAAGAAAAAAGGAGATTAGTTTAATTTCAGAATATTTCATTGCGAATAGATCTTTTAAAAAGTATGATTTAGTGGTTATCTTTCTTGTCTTTCAGAAAGTGTACCAAAAGAGGTGTTGGAATCATACTATTCCCATCCCAACGAGATAAAAGAGGAAAGCAATGAGCAACATTTAGGTATATGTTAACAACCCCTATAACTAAGTCAAGATGCAGTAAAATCTATTTATTTCTAAGTGATTTCTTTTCAATTGTTTTAATTATACCAAATATTTCTATATATTCTTTTAAACACTGAAATATCCGATGTTCGAACGTGTTAAAACAGCATTTTGATTTACACTATTGACACACAATAAATATCTTTAGAGTAGAAAAATGACATGGCGGGGAAATCCAGATATAGAGCGAAAGAATATGAAAAAGAAAAGCGAAGTTGATTCTATTTCACTTGACAACATGCACAGCCTATGATAGCCCTCTCTATACAGTAATAAACAACCTGCTTCTGTTTGAATGGTATTAACCATGGCATGCAGGTTACTGCAAACCTCGAGGACTAAGTATAGACCTGCAGTGGCTACCGGCCATTCTATGCAGGTTGACGGAAACAATTGTCCCTTTTGAAGGATTGTGCGTGTTAATCTGTCGTTCGGAAAAAGAAACTGACCGGCCTGTGCATGTCACTTCACCCTAATTGTTCTATATGGCATGTGATGAGCCTTCTGTATGATGTTCAATGAGTTAAACACCAGTTCCCGCCTCAAAAGATTAAGTTAACACAGTTGTGTTAATTTACTAATATTCATATATCACAAAGAAAAAAGATTTGACAACGTACAAGGAGAATATGTATCATGCTATGTATTCAGATAAAAAGTAATCAAACGTTTCGGTCTCTAAGCAACGATAAACTAGTGCGTCAGATCCGAAAATAATATGATTTAGCAATAATAAAATTTACACATTTCTCCATTGTTAAATTGTTTTTGTTCGAATGTTCATATTTGTTCTTTCAACCCATTCCAAATTTGCGTGATTGTTTTTCTTATTGTTCAAAATGAAATCACCAATTATAAAAATCAAAAGGATTGTGCATCTCCTTTAAAGAACGGGCTCGTAAACTTTCATAAGTACCTTCATTAAACGAAAGCAAAATCATTCTATGACTCAAGAGTTCACATTTATAACAAAATGTATTAGCATCAAAGGACATATTTCATAGAGATTTTCTGGTACGCTTGTAAAGTTTTAATTGTTCAGCATTGGTACATGTTTTATCTACAGCGTTTAATGGGGAAGTACACTAATTACAATGGATGAGAGCACAGCTGTGTTGTAACCAGAGATATTATTGCTTTAATTCTTTATAACCCCGTTTCTGTAGTATTCATTTTTATAGTAAAAGCATTTCAATTGTTAATCATGTTTTATAAATGATGAGTGGAAAGGAGCAGCATATATGCATCCCGACATGGTCACAGTAGGAGGAGGTACTTTAAATCAGAGCACAGGTATTCACATATTAGGTTCTTAAATTATATTTAAATTTCAAGAAAATGTAAAGTTGACAAAGGTTAAGATTTCTACTTGTACATCCTGCAGAATAGATAAATAAAATGTACTTCATCTTTCATATAAAAAATCCAACAATTCTAGTCCGTAACCAGATATAGAAATAAAGATTTTTCCGTGACGTCAGAACAGCGCCAGCCGATGACAGTTGTTGAAAGAATGGCAGACAGCAGAAGATTTGTCACGATCAATAAGGATTAATTTGAAAGTTTACTGCTGATTATATCTGTCGAATTTTAGCAAATATTAAATTATTTATTAAGTTCAATATTATAATGTTCTTTTCTTTCTTTTTATCTATTGTAGTAGGGACTTTGATATAAAACATCTTATACGTCCCCACTCTCAGATGACAGGAAACGAAAATTTTGTAATGTGAAAATATCGGGGAAATGTCATATTAAACATTTCTCGACCTGTTTTGAGGTGAAAACGATGATTAAACGACCGTCAAAATTGATATTACTTTCTCAGGTTAATAAGTCATCATATTAACTTAACCAGGTCGTTGATAATTGTGTATTGGGACCAGAGCACATTGTGGACATCATAATATGACCCTGCGACAATGGTGGTGATGTCCTGGTTTGTTATTGGCTCAATTCCATGATAACAAGCAATTTCTTTGTAGTGTTGTAATATGTCCTCTAAAACGCCTAAAACAAAATAGAATTGGTTTTGCATTTCAGATATCATCACAGGATTTGACCATATGGATGTGGGTGCGTACTGCAGACTCGATTCCTGGCCGCCCATTCAATCCTCCATAAATGGTAAGTTATTTACAAAAAAAAAATGCTGTTTTCAAATTTAAATCCAACTTACTATGAATCAAGCATGTGTCTTTATCTATTTCTTTGAACTCATGTAACTTATACCGCTATTGCAAACAGAATTCAGATCCAAATTCCTATGACAAAACGTAAAAACATATGTCTCTTAATCTTTTTTTATTTTTTTTTTTTTTTTTTTGGGGGGGGGGGGGAATAAAACCCGTTTTCAAAACATGTTTCTTTCTTCCAGTGTCTTTCAAAACATCTAAACACAAAGTAGTTTATCAGCGTGTGGAACATGTCAGAATTGAAGAATACAGAATGACAAGAAAACCTAGAGGTATAAGTAGTCTTTTTCATAATGATAGATGATGTGCTTAAAAACAGTTATACCACCCTTTCTAACAATATCTATAACTGAGAAGTTTTCTGAAATAATGGCCATGTAACGAGTTTTAATTTGATACTTTTCACGATCATCGTTGCTATAACAATCATGCTGACGCTAGGCCAGATATAGCTGTCATCTTTCCTGTTGAGGCAGATGATCGACCTCAACATTGTAGAGAATTTTTTGGTAACGACATACTAAATTGGGTCATGATATACGTCATATGGTACTGTCTCCTACCTTAACTGGATTAGTCTATGCAGAATGATACATAAATGTCAATTACCAATTGAAAGAAATGTGCTTATAACTCGGAACAAGTCTCATGTCACTTGTCGAATCCTCTCTAAAATACCCGCTGTGTTATAGATCTAATTTAGTAAACGAACACGTGTGCCATTTACAGATAGTCATGACGAATTTAGGTTATGAACATTACGAATCAATATTACCAAAACTCGACTTTGGCTCGTGCCAAAACCAAATTCATGATGTAATCGTCAGTATTAAAGCAAAGTATACTATCTTGTAATCATTTTGAGACTAATAATTGAAACAACATATCCGATAAGGTGGCGAACTAAGTTTTCAAACGTTTAGGCTATTATTCAAATCTATCTTGGGTCATGAACGTGACTGCTGTCTTTTGAGACAAATAAGAAATTTCGACATTCTAAGGTTGCTATTATTCATTATGTTAAGCAGGTATTGTATCCATATAGATAATTAAAAAACGCCATTTACCCTGCCACAAAATTTCAATTGATTTGAAATTATTCAAGTACAAAGGAAACAATCAGTCGATTTGTTATCCCGAACTCCTTCACAACCCATCAAAACATTTCATTTCCGATTGTTTATTCTAGCGATTCCACTTGTGACTTTTACTATTTTCTTCGGTTAACTATTTTCTGAATGCAGTTTTTTTTTACATGTAACGTAATTATAATTCCAGGAAAAGCTGTCATTTTTAACATAGAGAAATTCCGAATAGACCACAAAAATCCTCTTAGCCAAGAGATACCAGACCGAAGAGGTTCTTCAATTGATGCCGGTATGTATATATACAACACTGTAATTACACTCCACTTGAGCTTTATCTAGTATGAATACTCCACTCTCCAATTGAGTTTTATTTATGATACTCCACTTGATTTTTGATCTTCGAAAACTCCAGTTTATTTTTAACTATGGATACTCTACTTGACCTTTAGTACTGTTTTTCTATCTTTTTTTTTTCATTTTTCCACATTTTCTCGATTTGAATTTAACATTTGTTACCCTGTCGGAATCTGTTGATTTCTGTCGGTTGAGGACTACCCAGTAAACGCAATTACAGTTGAACTGTTACAGTAGGTAAACCATGATGCATTGTAGATTTATTTTTCTTCTTCTACAATCTAAGCTAGATTAATCCACGCAATAGATAGTGACTGAAAGTGTTTATCAGAATTAAGTGTTTGATGGAATTATTTCTGATTGTGAGATTATGCTTTACTCTCTGTGCCTGCATCAAAGTTTATATTACATTTAGTTAACTTCGTTTTGTCTTGGTGTACGTTAGAATATGGCATTACACATAGATGCCTTACATTCTTCGTGCATATGCACCGAATACGAACACATACACTATTCGGTAAGAGCTCATAATACTTACTAAATGGTTCAAAATGTTATGCATCACATATATTTCTGAATAAGACTAGAAGGCTTATAAGGCGGTGATCTGATATGATGACAATACTTTCACTGTTGAAGTATCATACATGTATTTATACCTGCTTTTGTTTATCAATAACATTATAATTTGAAATGGATAATCATATATTATCAGAAACACATTCCTATCTACAGGCAATTTTGATGGAGGAATAGTTATTTTAAGATATTAATCCTTTTTAAGAATATTGGGAACATATTTTAGTCTATGGGTACTCTGTACCCTATTAAATTTCAACCACGAGAACACCAACATGTCAATATATACATAATCAAAATCTCAAATTCAATAAAAGTAGGACAAAATATGAACAAAAGATTTACGAGGACACTTCTGAAAAAGTACAAGGAGAATAAGACCAATTGTTCTGGAAGAGAAAGCGTCTGCTTCATTTCAAATGAGAACAGGGTATACGTCAATGGAACTAACAGGCACACGTACGAGCATCAAACACGTCCAGCTTCATATAGCACGAAGAAAGAGAATATTTCTCAATGACGTCACTACGATGACCGCAAAACTTACCCATATTTTTATCAAACTTTATCGTTGAAAACCTTGTTACAAGTTTTTTTCCGTCATTTGACATATTCTTGCACGAAAATCCTGATAATTGGAACAGCCTCTTGAAGATCGAATCACCCGAGGCATTTAAAGACCATAGTTTGAGGATACAGGGATAACTTAGATACAACACATTTCAGTTGATGCATATTGTACAGTGTAGGCTCGAGTTCCCTCCAAACCTATCCTATCATATGGGTACCATAATGCAATTTCGTAATTTAATGACTCCTCATTTCAGATGGCCTTGAAAGGATCTTTGGTCAGTTACATTTTGAAGTTGAGCGTTACAATGACTGTACATTCAATTTCATAGATGATCGACTCAGGTCTCTTGGAAACGAAACCGATCACAGCAACGCCGATTGTATTGTGATATTCATTCTTACGCATGGTCAAAAAGGCCGACTTTTAGACGTTCATGGTACACCTTTCGATTTAGAACCCCTTCGCAAGTACTTCAATGCCAGCAATTGCATGACGCTTGCTGGGAAGCCGAAGATGTTCTTCATTCAGGCTTGTATGGGACCGGAATCCCAAGGAAGTATGTATAGATTGATATGTTTTTAAAAAAATAGAGGTTCGGAAGGGTAAGCGTCTCTTGTTTCATGACATTCTTAGTCAAATCTAGCAAACTAAAACGTGTTCCAAAATAAAAACAAGGAAACAAGAACGGAACCACAAGGCAAATTAACGAGAATTAAACACCCCCTCCAATTCTCAAAGACCCTTATTGAGGTTGAGGTTTTGCTTGAAAATCGTGATACTGGAAACAGGCTCTTAATATATCGTTCTTAAGTGTGTGTAAATGCAGTTAGAATCCCGTGCTAATTATTAATTCTTCAAAACATTAGGAGAGACTATTTTGAAAACTGTACTGCCTTGTTTCCAAGATTTCGTAACCAGTAGCTTTGTGCAAGGAATACTAGATACTTTTATTTATTTCTTGCTTTAACACCTCTAGCTAAAATAATTGTTGCGGATTGGTGAGGTCAGTCACTCATTCCTGTTTCATTGACTCGCAGGAAAGCTTACTCGAAAGATCCTTCGAAAATCTAAACGTTTTAGAATATGATCTATTCATCTTAATAAATATATTTATATATAAACTTTAATTACACTTTTAGATAATAGGGCATTACAAACGTTTTGTGACGTAATTGATTAAGTTATTATTACATTTTATCGAACTTACCAAAGGTTGCACATTCTATTTAATTTATTTCTATTTAATTTAATATTGCAATACATTATCTAGTTAATACTACATTTTTATCATCAATGGTTGAACTAATTAACGGTAAGGCTCTACTATACACTATTTAAATTTGTATTAAAAGGTGTTATTCAAATGTGTGTCTTTTGTACAATATCAAGTGAATTAAAATATTCCATTGAAAACTATGAGGACTAAAGTCAACCGGCAGGTTATACCTGATACAATCTCAAATGATTGTACACAAGATATAAAAATTAATAACATATTTAGATATACAAATAAGGCTTAGATACGATATATCTAAAGACTATATAGTCTATTTAGTGCAAGTTTTGCCATCGTTTTTCAGTTCGTACTTTTGATATGTCTTTTTTTTCTGGTTGATCTAGTTTACAATCATTTGGCGACAGACACTGTTCGTGTTAAACCACCACGGTATATTCCTACTGAACCAGAATGGAAGCAAACTCCAGACGAAGCCGATTTTCTTGTCTGTTTTCCTGCACCTCCTGGATATGTTTCATACAGAGACGAAAAAAAAGGATCATGGTTCATCAGTACATTCATTGAAACGCTTCACAAAAATCACGACAGGTGGCGATATCCATATCTTATGATAGGAGTTAATATATATTTTCTTAGCATTAAGTTATGGGACATATTGTTTTTACCGGGTGGGAGCCTTATTGATATTGTTCCATGTCTTTCTTATCATTATTATTAGTACAAGCTAACCAGTAATACTATTTATATATTACTCTATGTAAATTTGTTTCAACTTTTTTTGTAGTCATGGTCTTATGGATATCCTCACCAGAACCAATAGTGTTCTAGGAGAAAAAACAGGAACCGTAGATGGAATTCCTTGTGCTCAAACTTTAAGCACCACAGGAACACTTCGAAGAAAAATTGTTTTCCGTTCCATTCCAGATACAAAATAGGAGGACAATTTGAATGTGGGATTAGTGTCAAAAACAAAATACGTGTCAGTGCCAAAAACTAGGATTTGGGTTGTTGTAAACTTTATTTTATTTCATTTTCTTTACATACATAGACATGAAACATCACAAAAAATAACAATTGAAATTGGATTCGGAAACAAGTTATACTTATATAAATCCGTCTCCATTTCTGTAACAAGCAAGATGTTGACAAATGGGAAACAGATCACAAACAAAACAATAAATAAATGCATTTCTTATGAAAGAAAAGAAATAGGAAAAGAGGATAAGGAAAGAAGAGCTTAAAGAATAAGACTGGTAGGTTTACCATGCCATTAACAAGAATAGAAGGTATAAGTACATTAAATTCATCTCTGTGATAAGCTCAATTAACAACTGTGTATTGTGATAAGAAGAACATGGGGGAAAACTGTTACGATTAAAGACATAACATAAACAAACAAATTATTTAAATCTCTTTGAACTAATAACAAAATTTTGAACACATGAAAAAGTGAAAGAATTTTCGTCGTATGATAATTCACTATCACCGAAAAGCAAGACTTCAACAGTGATATGGTTGTCTAATTGACCGAGACAGCGTAAACGGAGGTCGGAGAAGAGGGGACACTTTAATAGAAAATGTTCATTTGTCTCTTCTCCTTCATTACAAGAACACCTAGGACTGTTAACAAGATTTCGACGAAATAAATAGAAATTTAGTGAACTACATTCCTTCCGCAATCTCGCATGGAGAATCTGACCCAGTCTGCTACCGTGAGAGAAATAACGTGGAACAACGAAACCTGGTAAATCCAGATGATTTTTTAATTTAGTAACTGAAGGATCATTTTTAATTATTTCTGGCAAAGAATTCCAGAGGTGAATGACAGACGGAAGGAAAGATCTCATAAAAAGATTTGTGCGACAGGAAGGAGTACGAAAGTTATTTCTGACACGAGTATTGTGATCATGAATAGTGTTGTTACGGCTGGGGAGAATTTCTTGCAGATATTGAGGAAGAAGGCCATGAACCATTTTATGAAAGTGGATAATTTTATGGTGCTTACGCCTTTGCTCGAGAGGAAGCCAACCCGTTTCAATATACAGTTTAACTCTACTAGTGAGGTTTGTTCCACCAGTAACAATACGAGCTGCCTCTAATTGGAGATCTTCTAACATATCAGATTGAGATTTTGAAATGTTGTCCCAGACAATATCACCATATTCAAAAATAGGCCGGATAAGGGTGAAATAAAGAGTTTGTAGAGAGGTGCGGTCAAGAGTGAATCTAAATTTACGAAGGATATTTAATTTAGGAGAAACCTTGGATATTATGTAGTTAATGTGATCGGTCCAACCACCGTTGTTAGATAAAAAAAGACCGAGATGCTTATGTGAACTCACATCAGAAAGAAAGGTGTTATTCATAATTAAATTAGGATGTACTGGCATGTTAGTTTTTTTGGATATTAGCAAAGTGTCAGTTTTAGAAGGGTTGAAATTTACCAACCATAATTCAGACCATCTATGAATTTTATCAAGGTCATTGTTTAAAACATCTGCACTAGCCAGAGGAGAATCAACAATCACATACAAAGAAGTGTCATCAGCGAATAATTTAATATTAGCTTGTATACCAATTACTATGTCATTTATAAATAAAAGGAACAAGAGAGGACCTAATATCGAACCGTGTGGAACTCCAGCATTAATAGTTGACCAGTTAGAAAATTTACCATTAATGACAACTCTTTGTTTACGATTTTGAAGATAATTAGTGAACCAATTTAGAAGTGAACCTTGAATTCCAAAGCTAGAAAGTTTAAGTAGGAGTCCCCTATGCCAAACACGATCGAACGCTTTACTGATGTCGCAAAAGACCATTCGTATTTCTTTACCAGTATCTTAGGCAGAGTAAATATCATGAGTGATAGAAAGAAGTTGATTAACAGGTGAATCACCTTGTCTAAATCCAGATTGGTGGGGAGAAAGTAAGGAGTTAGCATGCAGAAAATTGTAAACATATTTAAAAACACATCTTTCCATCAGTTTTCCTACAATAGATAATAGGGAGATAGGTCTATAATTAGTTAATGTGGACTTGTCACCTTTTTTGAAAACCGGAGTTACATTGGCAGACTTCCAATCGGAAGGAAACACACAAGAGGTAAGAGATTTGTTAAAAAGTAAACTTAAAGGGTTACATAAAATATCAACAGATTCCTTAAGCAGACGAGGGTTTATAAGATCGGGACCGATTGCTTTAGAACAGTCAAGCATTAGTATTGCATCTTTGACATCAGAAGCGCTTATTGTTATACTAGAAAGAGAATAGTTATAATTGTTGTCAATTGGTGGAAGGTTAGCGTTAGAATCATCAATAGTGGATTGAGCACAGAAGAAATCATTGAATAAAGACGCCTTTTCAGAATCATCAGAGATAACAGTATCATTGTGAGAGAGAGGTGGTATATAAGATTTCCTATTGTTTGGAAGTAATGAATACACAGTCTTCCACCATTTCTTAACACAGAGATTAGAAGGTTTATTCAGGGATTCACACAGATTTTGGATATATTTGTCTTTAGCCTGTTTAATTTTATTAATACATTTGTTACGAATTTGACGAAATTTGGACCAGTGAGCAATGGTAGGGCTACGTTTGGCATGTTTATGTACACGTTTGCGTTTCATAATTAACCTACGAATTTCATTTGACATCCACGGGGGTTCATGAGATCTAAAATTCACGGTTTTGTTTGGAATGCATAATCTTGCAATGTCAAGTAATTTATCTGCAAAATTGTGAACAGAAATATTTATATCATCAACATTGATTAATGAATTCCAGTTGACAGAATTAAGTTTTTCTCTAAATAGATCGTAATTACCTAAATCAAACAGCCAGACGTTGCGCTTGAAACATTGCTGCATGGGCCTGGAGATATTAAGCGAGGAGTAAGTTGGACAATGATACCTTAGGGGTTGGTCAAGAAAATTTTCACCAACGAAGCATTTGCTAATGAAATTTGGATTGTTTGTGCAAACTATATCAATAAGTGAGGAGGAAGCTTCAGTATAGAATGTTGGGGAGTCGACTAACTGAGAAAGATCAAATAATAGAAGCAAAGAACGCAATTGGGAAGAGAGGTTATCGACAAGAAGATTCGCGTTAAAATCACCTGTTATAACAATATTAGACATACCAGTGTTAAAGGCATTTTCAATAGACTGAGAGATATGAGACCATAAAGGAACTGGAGAGTTGGGAGGCCTATAGAAAGTGCCATAGAGACATTTCTCTGTACCGAGAGCTAATTCCAGCCATACACATTCTATGGTTGGCAATTCTAGATCTCGCCTTCTTTTCGCAGAAATATAGTCTTTAACATAGACAGAAATACCACCACCAATACGATCAGGCCTACAGTAACAGAATGGGTCAGAGTAACCAGGCAAGTTCAGATCAGGTGAAATATCACTCTCACTTAGCCATGTCTCGGTGAAAGATAGAATGGAAATGGTATTAAGTTCAGAATAGAGTAGGTCGAGCTTATGCTTCAAACTTTGAACATTAAGATGAACAAAAGAATAATGGCTGTCTGAGCAAATCTGGTCACTGAAGTCAGACAACAATGATGTATCCGATGTACTCAAAGACGACGGACCTGGATTTAATTCAATATCACCAGATAATATTAGTTGATACCGGATGATAGCAATGAATATCGAAAGAAGACTAATAACTTCTATCAATCCATAAATAGAACCATAAGATGACTTATATATATGTTGACAATATTTGTGAAGAGACGAAATGGACTGGGTAACATATAATACAAAACAATGAATAAACCATAGTAGCAACACTAAAGATAAAATGTCGTTGACGGTCAGAAAGATAACAAAATTGGATGACATTACACAGTTGTTAAAGGCACCGATTCGAGCACGGTATAACGATAGACTGACTGGCATTATGTTATGCCAAAACAAGCAAAGTACATATTGGGTAAACATGCAAGAATAGGTATCACAGCTTGAGCAAAAGATAATGGCATGGTAGAAAAAACAGAGAAGTTTGAGAAAAAGAGGAGGAGTTTAAGAAAGAGTAATAACATTATGATTGAAATCATAGTACTTGGAATGGGAGAATCAGGGGAAGACCATATATCTTAGAAGACCGTAACTGGAAAAAGAAATTATATTTTCATAATCACCTAAGTAAGCTAAATATATTTTTCGAAATAAGAATCATGAGCCGAAAGAAATCAGGATGTATGACATATTACATTAATCAAAATTAAGGAACATGTACAGTACATACAAGTAAAAACACAAAAACATGAAACATGAAACATGAGGTGTTCTCAATTACTGAAGGAACACCTCATAATTATTTAAATTGTTAGATAAGGAATAATCCATAACCTCATAATTATCTAAATCATGAGATAAAGGACACCTAAATAATATCTTAATCGAGAGATAAAGAACATCTTTTAATATAAATCGTGAGATAAGGAGCACCTCATAGTTCTCAAAATCGTGAGATAAAAAACATGGTATAATTATATAAATTGTTAGTTAAAGAATTCCTCGTAGTTATTCGTAAAGAAATCGAGAGATAAAGAACACCTCATAATTGTCTTAATCAGGAGATGTAGAACACCCCAAAATAACCTAAATCATGAGATAATGAAAACTTCATTATTATCTGAATTGTGAGATAAATAATACCTCATAAAAAAGAACGTGATATCAAAACTACAAGATAAATCTCGACATATTACTGTCTCATAATGAAATTATATATAAATCGATACTCATTGTGATTTTTTTTTCTCACACCTCAATGTTTTGAGTACAGCCGAGGGACTAAACACAAGTAGTAAAACAACTAGTTTACTTTATTAATATTCAGATTCAAAATATTGATCAGCAAGCTTATTTCTGCTATGAAGAATTCAATCGTATTAGACGCCGGGTTAGGACAA